TCCACTTGACGCTACAAACGTTTCGAAGCGTTTGAGCGACCAATCAGAACAAAAAATTTTACGAATTGACTAATCAAAGAATGCTTCGAAGCATTTGTAGCGTCAAGTGGACTGCAGCTCTAACTGACCCACAGCAACATCAGAATTGAAGTCTATTTTTGATTTTGTGACTTTGACTTTGACTTTGTCACTTTGTTTACGGTTGTGCGAATGGTAACTCACGTGGAGCAAGGCATATTTATGCAGGAAAATATCTCCAACGCAATTTACCGTTTCGTCAAACGTATGCGAACATTCACCTGTATTTCGGAAACTAAACTGTTTAGGACACATGTTTTTATGGACTTGAAATAAACCAAAGAATCGCTCTGTTGAGTATGGCAACATACTTAACTAACACCCTGTATATTTATGTATACAGGGTGAATCAGAATGAACCAGTTTTTTATCCTATAAGAAAAATTATCGCACTCTAATTATCACCGTATCAAAATTATTATGCATCTATATATATTTTTATATTATAATTATTTTATAATTAGAGTCGAGAATTTGTCTCATGGGGTAAAAAAACTGGTTCATTCTGATTCACACTCTGTATATATTATATATAAAATTATATATATATTATATGTATAATACACGCTATAATATATATACATATATCTTCTAAACATGATGGAATTTATTTTTTTATTTTTTTATTATGGTGTGCATGCAACAAAGAATACATTTTATATTATTCGCTGTTTCATTTGCCCTCTTTGTATTTCGCAAATTTTATATACAAAAAATATACACAATTATATATAAAATTTTATATACGAAAATATATGACATATACGTTATGTATATTCATAATTGAGAATAGCATCACTTTTAATTTTCCCGTGATCCACTTGTAATTTGTAAATATTGCGCCATCCCTAGGAAATCTTATCCGTCAGAGAATTCCCTAGTCCTTTAGAATCTTGAGGCGCGCCACGTTGACCACTTCCGGCGTCGTGTCGGCCCGCGGAAAAGATACGGCGGCCATTTTGTATTATCGGTTTTCGCATGTGTGCGTGTGTGGTGTTACGATCGCCGAGGATTCCTGCACTTCTTGAGCCGCGTATACTTGCAAGTTAGTACGTCGAATCAAGGATCGTTTCACAAAAAAGAGTCACCGTTAATAGCGACAAGTTTCCGATAATCCGGCGGGAAGATGGGCCGCAAGAAGAAGAAGCAGTCAAGACCTTGGTGCTGGTATCCTTTTTGTTTTCTCGAAGATTGCGACGACAACGACGAGGACGACCTGCAACGGTCGCTTTTACGTAACCATATTTTTGGAGCACGACGTTAGTTGTGCGATCGCTTAGCGAGAAATATCGCTATTAGCTGACAATTTATACAGCGGGTGTCGATCTTCCCCTCCACCACAGGAAGAGGCTCGAAGAACCGACACGGTGTGTGGGTTCCGCGGAAGGCGGGGAAATCGATACGTGATTTTCTCGCGTCACCGCGACATGCGACATCTCTTATGTATACTTATATATGAGAGAGCGCAGCTGTTTCCACTGTCCTCGCGTTCACGCGGCGCGTTGCACGATGATGTAATAACGCGACCGAGAAGCCTTCCATGCGGAAATGGCTAAATCAGATCGATATTTCTTATTCCACATAATTAGGAGTAGTCTTTGTATTATCTTGGTTTCGCGATTCTTCCGCTTAAGTTTCCTCTTCAAGTTTTTTTCTTTCCACTTGGCTGGCTGTTTTTATGTGGAGCAATTGAAAATATGCTCCTGATCTTTTCAGTGACTTGTAAAAAATGTTTGAATGCTGTAAAACCTATGAATTAAATGTAAATTTTCTTTAAAGAATGAATTGAAGAAAATCTAAGTTTTATTTTGTGGAATCACG